CTTCTATCCTGTGTGCACCTCCATCCCCTCCACCCCATCCCAGCTGCATCCCATCTTTCACACCAACTGCAGCTGTCAGCATGAGCGTTTTCAACCTCAAGTCTAACTATGTCTTGTCTGTAATCAAACCATCTTCTGCACCCAATATAACCATTCCAGTAGTACATGGAAGCACAGGGTTATGGTCTTAGATTTTAGGAGATAAAGGCAGGAAGACGAGGAGTTCAAGATAGCTTAGTTTGAGGCCATCCTGGCCTACATGAGTCCTTTCCTCAAAAACAGCAAAATAATGACAAAACAACAAATCAACCCAAAAATGTTTAATCCTCCCTCACTCCACAAACTAGTCCAACTACACTGCTAGTCCTGTATCTATTCCTAGTCTCATCTCTGTCTACACCGTCTCTCTCTCCACCCATCACACTTCCTACTAACGCCCATTCTATAGTCCTAAATCCATCTCACCCTAGGCCATCAATGTATGTGTGTCCAACCCCAACACTACTATTTTCCCAACCCCAAATCAGTAAACTCTCCCCATCTCCAAACCCAGCCAGGTTCAATCCCTTTCCTGACTCTAACCCCATCCCAGTCTCCACTCAGCCCCTTCCCAAGCCCATCTTTATAGGTCCTATCTCAGCTCCATACCAAATCACTCCATGTGTCTGTGTCTCTATAATCTTTATCACCTCTGTCTCTCTCCTAACTCAGTCTTCTTATCTCTATTACAATCTTTCTTTGTCTCTGTCCCTTTTAGTTTGTGATTTCAGCTATCCCTACCTCCTATGCCCAGATCAGTTCTCATCAGTGTTTACCTCTTCCCTATGCTGTTGTCCCCATCTGTCCTATCCTTCTGTCCATCCATCTTTCCACTCTCCTTCTAAACTACCTTCTATCCATGAATCCTCCTGCTGATCTATCTATCTATCTATCTATCTATCTATCTATCTATCTCCTATCCACCCACCCACCCATCTACCCACTCGCCCACCCATCCATCTATCCACCCATCCACTCATCCACCCACCCATCCATCTACCCATCCATGCATCCACCTACCCATCCACCCACCATCTACCCACTCACTCACTCACCCATCCATCCACCCATCCATTCATCCACCCACTCATCTGCCCACCCACCCATGCATCCACCTACCCATCCACCTACCCATTCATCCACACATCCACCCACCCACCCACTCACCCACCCATCCATCCATCCATCCATCCATCCATCCATCCATCCATCCATCCATCCACTCATCCACCCACCCATCTATCCATCCATCCATCCATCCACCTATCCACCCACTCATCTAACCACCCACCCATCCACCCACCCATCCACCCACCCATCCACCCACCCACCCATCATTCATCTTTTTTTTCTACCCATTCATCTTCCCATCCATCTATCAATGAACTCACCCAGTCTTCCTTCCCAATACCCTCTCCAGTTCTGTCCTCTCCTGCCCCCTATCTCCAGCTTTCTTCCACTCCCTCTTCTCCAGGTACACTCACGGCTTTCTGCAGTGCGCTGCTGTGAGCAGCCACTGTGGCCTGATCAGCACAGCTCCACAGTACAGCTTGTTGGGCCCTAAAAGCAGGGCGCCCTGCCATGGCTGCGCATCCTTTTTGCAATCTGACCCATTCACAATACGAGAGCTGCTGTCTGAACGAGTGTTCTCCCCAGACTCGGAATCTGCGTTGAGGTCTCTGTTGGTCCCAGAGGGTTTGGTGCCAGAGGGGTTGTCACAAGAGGAAACATCACCAGCAAGAACAGGCTCTGGGAATAGAGAGTGGGTGGAGAATGGGTCTGGAGGTGGGGCTCTGGAAGGGGCTTAGATGCGGGAGTGTTCTTACAGTCAGAAACTGGGACCAACCAAATTGTCTGACCTGACATGCCAGGCTTTTAAACAAGGAGTTGAAACCAGGACTGTGGAGGGGAGGCCAGAGATTATCCGAGATCTAGGGATGTAAACAGAGCTGTAGGAGTGAGGCCAGTACTGAAGGATGCGGTCAGGGCAGCCAGGTGTGGCCAGATCTGTAGGGGTGGGGTCAGAGCCCTGTGGGCAGAGCCAAGACCTCCGGGAGGGAGCTTGTAGATCAAGCCAAAACCGTAACTCAACCAGCAAGTTGGGATTTAAGACAAGAGAACCCTGGCTCCAGTGGGCTTCCTGGACTTTGTGAGCCCCAGGGATTCCTGACATCTCCAGCTCAGCTGGTAATACCTGGAGAGAAGGAGGGTGCCCTGGGGTACAGAGCCCTTAAGGGCAGACTAGGCTTGAGCATTGAGACCTAACTTCCAGAAGTGGAGTCAGAAGCCAAGACCAGTGGCGTAAGCTGGTCACCCCACTTATTCTGGAGACTGGGGCACCAGAATGTCAAATTTAAGACCTGAGAGACTGGGGACTTGGAATCAGTCTAGAGAGAAATGAGGCAAGGTCACTTGGGGTGACAAGTCCCCCCAAAACCCCCTGACTTTGGAAAGGGAGGTGGAGCTAAGCTCTGGAACCACTTATAGCAAGTGGGCGGAGCCTAGTGAAAAGGGGTAGGCTCTGGAGCCGAAGCCTGGCCTACGGACTTGGTGAGTCAGAGCTCTTGGGTGAAGCTTGGGATGGGAGACAGGGAACGGGGACTCTGGAAGGGCACAGCAAGGCTCACTTTCTGAATTCTCACACAGACCTGTATGCATTCTCTCCCCACCCCTCACTCCTCTCAGGCTAGTCACTGGTCATGTTCCTGCTAATGGCTCAGAGAAGGGACACCTCAGTGCTCTCTGCAGCCACAGGCACATTCCAAGAAGCACAAGCATTGTGTCCAAATGCACCTGCTCCCAAGTGACAGGTGGTCTCTTCGGAGCTCATCCACATGACCACCTGAGAGACAGGCAGGTGTATATGGACGGGAATACCACAGACATTTCTGTACATGCTGACACGTCACATCTGTGCTTTGCTTTAAAGCATGGCACAATGCAATAAAACAGTCTCAGTCTCTATGACCCTTCATGTCTCACTCAATTTCTCAAGGCAGGATCAGGAACCCCAGATACAGTGGCATGAGAACACATCCAACTGCACTTGCAGCCCCCCAAACACACAGCCCCCGAATGTAGAGCCCCAAATGTCACAGGATCACAAATACAATCACAGACACAGCTATGCACTTGGAAGGGGCTATCTGCAAATACCAGGGTCATGCGTTTTCACGGTGATGAACCAAGCTGCACTGCATTCCAGACTCGGACACTGGGGTACAGAGGAGACACAAGGGGCCAGATGCACAGTAGCATCTGCACCAACCTGGAATGTGCACCCACACCAATGCAGTGCCAAAGTGATCTGAAGTGCATGGACACCAACTATACACAAAGTCTCAGAGGGTCCATACCATCTTCCATGCAGTCACTTGATGGGGACAAGAACACACACAAGCCAAGCAGAATCCCTCACACTTTTAATCCTGGAACTCGGGAGGCTGAAGCAGGAGGATCGCCTAGAATTCAAATCCAGCCAAGGCTTCACAGTGAGTTCTAGGAGAGCCTGGGCTATAGAACAGGTTCTAGGCTAGCCTGGGCTAAAAAATGAGATTATGTCTCAAGAATTAAAAACAAGGGGTCTGGAGAGATGGCTCAGCAATTAGGAGCACTGGTTGCTCTTGTGGTGGACCTGGGTATGATCCCCAGTATCCACATGATGGCTCACAACCAGCTGCAACTGCACTTCCAACTGAAGCCTATTCTGGGCCTCTGTACTGTGCATAGTGCAAAATATCTTTACAAATACATAAATAAGTAAAAAACCAAAAAAACCAATAATGGTAAAAACATATGATGGCACACACTGCAATTCTACCTCTCAGGAGGCAAATATAAGAGTACTGGCCTCAAGTTCAAGGCCAGCTTGGTCTAAATAGTGAGTTCTAGACCAGCCTGAACTACACAGTGAGACTTTGCCTCAAAAATAATAATAAATGAATAACATAAAAACCCCTTCCTTCTCTGCAATACATACACAGCCACGGAGCCCACATTTAATTTGTGTAACCACAGAGGCACAAACATGCATTCACCTGGTCCTGGAGACACACCCTGTGGTCCACAGAGGCTGTCCTCCCCACACACTTAGGGGACCCTAGTTACCTGAGACACCCAGAACCAGGGTTGCGATTAGGGTAGCCTTTGCCCATTTCCAGGGGTGTCCTGCCCTCGCCATGACCGCTGCACCTGGTAAGAAATAGAGGATGAGGCTAGGTGGTTCTGGAGAGGCCTAGGTGGTTCTGGAGAGGCCTAGGTGGTTTTGGAGAGGCCTAGGTGGTTCTGGGAGTGTGTTCCACTTTCATCACCTCCTCTGCCTCACCATTAGCACCCAGGTACCGGCAGTGGAGGGGAGGGACTGTCAGCATTTTACAGTCCTTGTAAGTGTGGACAGCAAGGAGAGGCGAGGTGAATTCAAGATAAGAGAGCCAGGTCAGGCCCCTCTCGTCCCTTACCTGCTGAGACCCTTCCCCAGGCCTCACCTGGCTCTTTGCACCTGTCCCCTGGGCAGTGGGTGGTGGGGTCTGGCTCCCAATATAGCTGCAGACTTCTCAAGCTGGCCTGAGCCTTCCAGCCTGCGACACCTCCTCTGCTCTGGCACCTGGTGATATAACCACCCACTGGTCCCTGGGGCACATTCCCGGGCAGTGAGGTTCCTGTCAGTCTGGGCCCCAGCACTCACTCTTCCTGCCTCCCCTCCCCTCCATCCCCCACCCAGTGCTGAGTGCCACTCACTCCCTCCCTGGCCCCAAGGATGGGGAGGGGTCCTCAACGCAGACTGGGACCTCCTCATGCCTGGCATCTCACCAGCTCCCAGGCACTCTTCCAAGCAAGAATTTCTAATGTTCCTTTTTCCCTCCGAGTCACACACTCATTCATTACAATTCTGTGTCTCCTTTCTCACCCGTCTACCTCTGTTTTTAAAATTCTTCTACCTGTGGTCTAGCTGTCAGCCCTCATGGAACCTTTCAGAGTCTGTCAACACTTGGCACCCAACGAGTCTCTCTGTCAGTCTGTCTTTCCCCACCTCCCTGTCCCCATTTCTGTCTGTCTGCTTTTGTGTGTTTCTCTGCCCCTGCCTCCTGTGCATCTGTCTCTCTGTCTCTGTCACTGATTTTTTTTTGATCTCTGTACTGTCTCCCTTTTCTTTCTCTCTCTCTCTCTCTCTCTCTCTCTCTCTCTCTCTCTCTCTCTCT